GATTAGAGATTCATTTTCTTTAATATCAGCCCCCTGCAAATCCACAGAAATTAAGAATGATTAGCTACACAGATTTCTGCTTCAAGTTATTAACCAGCCCTACATGGGCTGGTGATCAGGCGCAAGCATGACCAGAGGAGCCTGACAGCAACACTGATATGAGAACAAGTAGTGCCTGGGAAATAACAGACATACTGCTCCTCTGAGGATGCCTCGAGGTATGTGAAACTTTGGTTATTGCAGGGTTAAAAGATCATACTACAGTTTACTATACAGGGAAGCAAACCTACTCTTTCCTCAATTCAACAGGCCTCAAGACAGTCTTCTACCTAATTTCATCCCATTCACTTTTTAATGTGGGAGGGAATGACCTAGTCCAACACTAAATACTAAGAAATATGATTAAATACCAGTCCACATGGGTTTATGGAAACCAGATCTTGTCAAACAAATGTGATTTAATTCTCTGATCATACAAGGTTGGCCGATAAAGGTAACTGCTGATGTAGTATACTACAGTAGTATACTACAGTAGACTTTTGTAATGCACTTGATGGAGTACTGCATGATATTCTAATTAAAGCACTAGCACTATACAGTATCAATAGTGCACACATTAAGCTGACAGAAAATAGCTAATGGGAAATCATCATCAAATGGAGATGTCCACTGGGATTCATAGGGACACTAGGCCTGACACTAATTCAACATTTTCATCAGTGATCTAGAACAGGAATCGGCAATGTTTGGCACACGGCCTGCCAGGGTAAGCTCCCTGGCAGGCTGGGCCGGTTTGTTTATCTGCCACATCCACAGGTTTGGCTGATTGCGGCTCCCACTGGCCGCGGTTCAGCGCTCCAGGCCAATGGGGGCTGCGGGAAGCAGCGTGGGCCAAGGGATGTGCTGGCCGTGGCTCCCCGCAGCTACCATTGGCCTGCGGCGGCAAACCGCAGCCACTGGGAGCCGCGACTGGCCAAACCTGCAGACGTGGCAGGTAAACTGGCCCAGCCCGCCAGGGGGCTTACCCTGGTGGGCCACATGCTAAACGTTGCCAATCCCTGATCTAGAAGTAAATATAAAGTTAATGCTGTTATAATTTGCAGATGGCAAAAATTGGCAAGAGCAATAAATAAGGAAGTTATCTCAACAATTTGGTAAGATTGGCTCATTCAAACAAAATTAGTTTTAGTACTGCCAAATGCAAAGTTTTATCTCTCTAGGAACAAGGAATGCAAGCCATACCTACATCATAGAGGGCTGTATCCTGGACAATGACTGAGAAAGATTTAGGGTAATAGTGGACGAGCAACTCAACAGGAGCTCCCAGTTCAATGTTGTGGCAAAGAGGGCTAATGCAATCCTTGGAAATATAAACAGGGAAGTAGTCAATAGGAACAAGGTGGTCATCTTACTGCAATATAGTTCTAGTATTCATATTTTTAAAAGGATGTTAAAAATTGGAGAGGATGCAGAACAGAGGCACAAATGATTTGATGGCTAGAGAAAATGTCTTACAGGAAGAGATTTAAAAAATTTGATGTGTTTAGTTTATCAAAAAGAAGACTGAGAGGTGATTTGATTATAAACCATAAGTACCTTTATGGGGAGAAAATGCCATGTATTAAAGGGCTCTTTAATCTAACAGAGAAAAACATAAGAATCAGTGACTAGATGCTGAATCATGACAAATTCCATTTAGAAATAAGGCATACATTTTTAACGGTGAAGATGATTAAGCACTGGAACAAACTACCACAGGAAATGGTGGATTCTCCATCTCTTGATCTCTTCAAATCAAAACTGGATGCCTTTCTGTAAAATTTGCTTTAGCCAAACCCAAGTTATTGGGCTCTATACAGAAGTAATTAGGTGAAATTTAATGGCCTGTGATATACAGGAGGTCAGACTAGAATGATCTAATAGTTCCATCTGGCCTTAAACTCTATGAATGTATCAAGTATAAAGCACAGAATTCCAGGATTTGAACTTCAAGTATTGGATGTAACAGAACATCTTGTGTTATTGTAAGGACAGACAATGGCATGAAGGGCACTCTAGTGAAGACCTTAAAGGTCTATCAATCTGGACAAAAATATAGCCCAGTGGTAAGAGAACATAGCAAGAAGAAAAGAATAAAAAAGAGACACATTCTGTATCAAAGACTACCAGCCTTGGAACAAACTGTACTACTTTTACAATAGCACTGAAGCACCTGACACATGATTTGCCATGGTCAGAAAAGTGCAGCTATGATAAGTTGTGTACATCTCATTCTTCTAATAAGCATGTACTTTAAAGCTCATCTATTTAAATTCAGAACTGCATTACAGAGCTATGGATTCATTTTTGCTGTCAGAAGTTTGGAGGTATATACCACAATCTGCCACACGCTTTCAAAATATTGGGAGGTATTTCTAGCTCTTTGTGGGAGTACAAATAACCATTACACCAGTAAAGTATCTCAGAGTGCTTCCTTCTCTCTATTCCTTCTCCCTTCCTTTAGGATAGTACCCATTTATTTCTGCCAATTCCTCTGTTGTGTCTCCGAGTCTTAGTCCTACTTATTATAGTCAGTAAGATGAAATTAGCATATTGGAAGGATCTCCCTTACTTTCCCTCCCACCCCAAAGCCCCACATCACAGCAACCCTCCAGCAGCAGATTCCTCCATAACTCATCAGTATTGTTTCTCAGAATAAAGGGACAAAGGTTACATGATAGAGGACTACTAGAAACTCTGAGACCAAGGATAAACAAACAACTGATCGCTTCTGCACTGCATAAGTTGCCATGCAACGCTCCTCCAATTCTCAACAGGAGTCGCATCATAGACAGATTTCAGTGCAAAACCTGGGAAGGAGTCCTGGGGGCCAGGGAGTGTGTGAATGTCATTGTTCTAAAGACATTCTGATTAATGAAAAAGGAATATTCTTTAGTGGTCACAAGTAGCTTTGTATACTGCAAAGGCATAATCACTAATACATATAAGATCATGGGTATTTTTTGAGTATGTACAAACAAGGAGTTAATAGTATGTATTTAATCTTAACTTCAATTTCCCAGTTTTGAGCATTTAAATTCCTACACTAGATATTACTTTTAAAAAAATGTTAACTCATTTAAAGTAATTTCAGAATGAGCTTTTATTTGCAGTTGTCTTATCAAAATTCTAATAGAAGGTCTTAAAATGGAGCTGCACTGAAACATTTTCTGATGTATAAATAATAGCTGGTACAATCTGTCTGATCTAGACCTACTTATACATATTTTGGTCTCAGTCAGCTGAGAATACTTTTTCATTTGTTTGTTTCAGAATTCTAAAGAAAAACAAGTTAAGTGCTTCTGGCTGTAGACAGAACGAAGTACATAAGCATCTGGAAAAGCGAACAACATCTGTGTCGCCATGTACAAAGAAGCAAGTACATTGCAGATGATATGCTCTACAATTTGTAAAGGAAGGGCCAACTGACATGGTACTTAAAATGCTGGTAGCTTGTCTACACTAAAACGCTCTAGGTTGCTCCTTCTAGTGTTAAGAAGTCTGAGAAATGTTACAAAATTTCCCTAGTGCAGATAAAGCTTGATTTTTAAATTGGTGTCCCTTTAAATTCTTGGAGATAGCACAGCATTCACATTAAAAAAAATTAGACAAATGAAGTAGTCATTGAAAGCAAGAGGCTTTTAAATCACTCAGTTACAACACATTGCAACAAACTGCAAATCTGGTGTAAGAGTTAAATGAAGAATGAATCCAATCTGACACAATTTTGCAATCAAAGGAATTGCATAGTTAAATCACTAAGAGGTGCTATGCAAAAATGGTAGTTTTCTTACTCCATATATTTGTGCCTTGTGTGTAGCCTGAGTAACATCTACCCACTATATACTGGCAAAAGTGATCACTACTTCCTCCTTACTCACTCCACTACTAACTATATTTGCTGTGCAGTGATATGGGAGCATCAGCTAGATTCTGCTCTGTTTCATGCATCAGACTTAAATCCATTCCAATTTCAGAATTAAAATACTGCTGAGGAGCCAAAAAGTTCCAGCTGAATTTCAAAACCCAGTTTGCCAAACATCAATTATTTTCATTTGTAAGTTAACAAATTTGTAACTGATAACATGGAATATCACAATGCCATTTTCAGACAAACATTTTAAGAAGTTTAATCAGCCTTGAAAGTTGCATTAATGCATTTTTCCCTATTTAAAACCATAAAGAATGTTATATCATAGTCTCTTACGATGCACATGGAATGTAGAAAAGAAATTACCAAGTTACCAGGTAGAAAACCAAGCTCCATTGGGCTGCAGAAAGACTTTAGGCCCCATTCCTTTTCACTTTTAAATGGAGTATTTGTACTGACAATAAATCTTTCCTAAAAGACTTCACCTGAAGTCCTGGCCCCAGTGAGATCAACAGTAAAACTCACACTGAGTGCAACAGGACCAGAATTTCACCCTTAGTATTTTAGAACAAATGAGGTCATAAACATTATATAAATAAATAAGGGTCTGGCTTGCACCATAGCTGCTGCACTGCAGTAACAAGATCTTCCTAACCCTGTTCGGACCAGCTTCAGTTGGAGCCAATAGCAGAAAACTCCTGCCCAGATCCTGAGGATATGGGGCTCAGGGCAAAATTGCAGTACAATCATATCATCGCTCCAGGTTGGAGAAGGAAGATTTAGACAACGTCTTAAATTTCAGTTTTAAAAGTAAAAATTTCTGGTGATTAGCTGATCTTTTATGAAATGTCCAGGATTCCATAATATCTATGAGTTCTTGTGACCAAGCATATACTGAATCTGTGTGGTAAGCAAAACACAGCTAGATTTGGAAGCAAAGAAATTGTTTAATGGAGTCTAAAATCCCACCAGGTATCTGACCAGTTTGCCTAAATTTGCATTCCACACCACAACGTATTACAACAATGTAAGTTTAACCATAATGTCTGTAAATCAATGCTGTAAAGGATCAAGAGACAATTTCACTTACTGGAAATAAGAGTGCAGCCAAAGTTGTTTCTGTGCAGTTTGTATACTGTATGGAAGAGAGCCACCAGCTCAAAAGAAAAGAAACAATGTTATCAACACTGGTATTTGAAAGACATTTTGAAAACAGTACAAAAACACATTCTCAGTAAATAATGAGGGGGTAGAGGAATACATTAGCTCCATTTGCATCTCAAAATGTTCTTTTGAAAAACAAATCAGAAGCCTCCTGTGATACTAAATGGTTTGTCTAGTCAGAAAGAAAAAATTTAAACACAGATCCCCAAACACGAAGTAACCAATTTACACCAGAAAATGAATTCAAAAATATCAGATTAATGATTCACAGTTCAGTCCCTTCTTAAGATACCTCTGTGGATATTTTTCCTTATTATGCCCAATGGAGCGCGTAGCCCATAATCAAGTCCACAGATAGATGAGCATTATTCACTTACACAAGAAACAGTGAACAATAAAGCTTCAGACAGATCAGTGACCATTTTATGAGGCAGCACTTTAGAACATGGGTATCACATGCTAGACATTGAGATAGGACATTTCTGAAAATGTGGTCTGTGCCCAACTTTGAAACATGCACACTGACTTCAGAAATATGGACCTGGGAAGAATGAACTTAACAACAACTGTAGAGCCTGGAATGTTAAAATATCACCTGAGCAACCACTACCACTCCTTGGATAAGTATTCCGTTACGTTCCATGTCTAAGCCCTAGCTGAACATGAATCACGCCTTCTACTATTCTTGCTTGCAAAACTCAGTGTAAAGAAGACTTTTGTATAACCACAAGTACATCCAAATCATTTAGTTTGTTGCCAGATCCCACATACCCCTAAGTCATAGTTGTGATCTGGAATAGTATTCTGTGTCTGACGTGCAAACTGGACTAATAGATTTGTAATTTACATGCCAATACATAGAAAGCTTTGCAGTGCTAGTGTCTGTGCTCCAAAAACAAATCAGAAGATGGCTGGCTGGCCAATAACCCAACAGTCTTCCCAACACAGCCAGCAGCTTGAGGCTCATTCAGAAGAAACACTGATCAATGAAACATTTACACATTATCTTACAATGCATTATCACAAAAACTTTAGAAATAATGTTTCTATTCATTTATTTACCAGGATATCCTTCCAAACTTTGCCTCACATTGTCCACAGTAGGGTAAATCTTTAAAAAAAAAAAAAAAGTAATAATCAAACCAAGCTAATTGAAATAATGCAGTTCTACTAAAATATTACTAACTTTGAAATAAAGATATTAGGATCCTATTTTTTTAAACATTGAATATTCTGACAAGTCACATTCCTAACAAATAATGTGGAATAACAGGACACACTCCTCCAGGAAAGCAAGAAAAGACTGAACACAATACAGGAGTCTGAGAATTAAAAAAAAAAAAAAAGCTACAAACTAAATTTCATTGGAATTAAACTAACCAAAGTGGAAAATTAGTCATGAACCAGTAACAAACGTTCAACACTTACGCTATCAGTTATCTTATACTGCTGCTGGGTGAATATCCATGACATTCAGGGTTAAAAGGAGCAGAGACTCCAACAAACATATTCCAAGTAATGCCCCTGAGGTCATAGTGGGCTCTTCCCTGACTGATCAGTCTATTCTTAACTTCTAGTTTACAAGACTCTGTCCTTGCTCTTTTTTTCCTCTTTTACCTAAGATAATAGAGGAGTGCAAGTGACATGGATACTGCCACTTGAGGAGATACACAAAGAGGGGATTACAGGATGTGGAATGAAAACAGAACACCTTTCACATTTTGGGAACTACATTTTAGAAAACTTTGGTGATGTGAACTTAAAACAAAATTGATGTTTCTGGGATTTCATCAGTTTCCAAAATAGAAAACATAATGCAGCTGTGGGAAGAAAATACCATCTTCTAGATTTTAAATGTAAAAAAACTCTCTCCACTTGTGGTCAAAGATTTCAGAGCACTTTGAGGGACTAGATATGTTACCTTGGTGTTTCAGGCCACATACATTTTCCCTAGTTAGGGTATATCTACACTTAAAATGCTACAGTAATACAGCTACAGTGCTTCAGTGTATATGCTCACCGCAACAACAGGAGGGGTTCTCCTGCCACTGTAGATAATCCACCTCCCTGAGAGATGGTCAACCAAAGAATTCATCGGTTAACCTAGCACCGTCTACTCCAGGGGGTTAGGTCAGCACTGCTATGTCCCTCAATAGTGTGGCTTTTTCACACCCTTGAGAGATGTAGTGATGCCAATGTAAGTTTTCAGTGTAAACCAGCCCTATATTTTCCTTGCAATTTCAAAAGAAAATTATTCTTCCCCTTTTCTTCCCAAAACCTATTATGTTATGTTGCTGTTCGAGAATGACCGTTACATCCTACTCCAGTGGAAGATGTATTTTAGCGATGGCCAACTCTCATATATAGCAGTTTGCAAAATGATCTTTCTACAATTCCATAACTCAATTTCTCCCCTCCCTTTGACTGTGAAAACCCAGGTGGTCACAGTGCTGTTCACAAAATCCTATAGTAGAGCTAAAATAGCTACATTAATCCTTTTCTTAAAAATGTTAAAATTAGTTTTTCCACTGGGATAGAGAAAATGTGGCACAGTACACAGATGTGGTTATATACTACTCGAGGTAACTCCAGGGGGCTAGTTTTGCTCAAGTTACCTTGACAAAAAAGGATAGAATTGTGAAATAATTATGAAAGGGAGAAAAATACAAAAAGCTATACCAAAAATCTAGTTCTACCGAAAGTTATCATCTCTACCGGTTGCAGACAGAAAATAACTGCATATTTTCTGCCAATTCATCCCCTTTACTATTGAGTGAAATCAGAGAGAATAAATCTTAATTCTCATCTGCCGATATTCCACCAATGTCTCATGCCTGATTTAAGAAACACTGGAGAATTGTCCTGTAAGTTGAAGCCGGAAACAAACGGATTCTAAGGCTTACTTTAAGTATAGCTCTAGGATTTTGTACATCACGTGGGTACAGTTAATATTTTATTCTTTTATCATTAAATAACTAGAAAAAATTCTTCCACTTTGGCAATTTTAAGTAAAAAATCCTGGATAATTTTTTTCAGAAGTTATGGCAAACTGATATTGACAACGAGACTTGTCTGTGTTATCCTATTCTGAACACTGGAAAAAATAAGTCGGTAAACATTAAATAAAAAATACCAACCACCACCACCTAGAAAACATACCAAATGAATAGGAATGTCAGGTTTTGCTAGAGTCTTCACAGTACCACCTAGCGTAATCAGGCTCTCTTGAAATTCTGAGCACAACCATTTGGACTGGTCCGCTCCCATTGATCCAATACTTGAAAACTGTCCTATCACCGGCCAAGATTCTTGTGCTGGTATTGGTGATGTATACTCTTTCAAAAGCTATTTGGGAAAATAAAAACGTTTTGTTAGACTTCAATGTGTCAAACTACGTAACAAAAAAATGTATAGCCAGGTTTCAGTATTTAAGATCTTGTTTGATGCTCTCTATAATTAAGCACTTCATTTGCCACTAATAAAAAAGTTGGATTATCTATTCAAGAGTCCAATATAAAACACTACTCAACTTTAAAAAAAAATTCAAAACCATGATGCTCTTTTCCATGGGGAAAAGAGATTACAAAATAGTTTTGTTCAAATGAACTGAAACTGCCAGAATCCTTAGATTCTTCTGATAATCCCAGCCTCCATGTTTCAGGAAGTTAGTCACGTAAGTCTTTTGAAATGTGATGGATATCGGGCACCTAACTCCCTTAGCCTCCTTTGAAAATTCCCAGCCTCAGATGCCCAGGAGAGAGTGAAAGTGATACCGAGAGAAAGTGTATTGGGGGGTGAGGGCTGGATTGGGGGGAGGGGCGGGCGGGCACAGAAAATTTCCTCTTCAAAATTCTAAAATATTCTTACTGAAAGGATAATTAGGAAAATACACAAAACCAAAGTTGACAAGGCCGTAAATGCCAATTAAATTATCTGAGAAAAGGACAGACACCACCTTCATGATGAGAGCTGCATTATACTATAAAAGGTGAGTTTTTCATCCCAACCATAAAATAAATATACATATTCAAACATTTACTTTACAAGGGGATCTAACCTTTATAATTTCCTTGTCCAGTGAAAGGTTGAAAGCTATCTGCAGTCTCTGACTTTCCATTATGTCATAATGAGGGAGCATGTAGCTCAGATTTCAACGGGCGGTCAAAGAGTGGATACTTCTTTGAGTGGAAAATGAATGAGACAAAATGACACATTTAACAGGTCACTGACATTTGTGAAAGATGGTGTTAGAATTTCTTGACCATGACAGGTAAAAAGTTTGGCAGAGCATGAAATTACCACATGCCAAAGAGGTGTTAGGTCAGGGATCAGCAACCTTTGGCATGTGGCCCGAAATCCGTTGGTGGGATGGGACTATTTGTTTACCTGCAGCATCCATAGGTTCGGCTGATTGCAGGTCCCATTGGCCGCGGTTCACCGTTCCAGGCCAATGGGGGCTGCGGGAAGCGGCGTGGGCCAAGGGATGTGTTTGCCGCCACTTCCTGCAGCCCCCATTGGCCTGGAACGGTGAACCACGGCCAGTAGGAGCTGCCATCAGCCAAACCTGCGGACCCTGCAGACAAACAAACCATCCCATCAGCAGATTTCCCTGACGGGCCACGTGCCAAAGGTTGCCAATCCCTGTGTTAGGTATAGTGTGCCTTCTCAACTTTGGAAACGTGCATATAACAGATAACATGAGGTATCTTCTTACAATTCTGAATAAATCTCTACAAAACCATAAAAAAATAGAGTATTTTTACAGTAATCCCTAGTGGAAAGATATTCTATAGTAAAATATGTAATATTGTATGAAACTTTCTGAATGTGGCTTAACTGACTATTTACTAAGTGATGTAGAAAATTCAGTTATTCCCTAACCTTAACCAGTTATAGCAAGCCAAAAATTGAAGACAACTTGAATATGCTTATTTTGTTCCATCATATTTGCTGGCCAACCTCCTGCATTTTCAATTCCTTATCAATGTAGTCACACTTGAAAAATATACAGTACTTTTTTTCCAGGTCATTTAGAGCCAATCTAATAGTGACTATGGCAGCAATTTAAATATTAACATTGAATGATCCTATCCGTAGGTCAGTTTGTACTGAATTTGACTTTTCCTTCTGTCATGCCTACTGACAACTTCTGCTATGCGCCTACTCAGGTAAGTACTCCTCTTCCACTAAAATGGCTTCTGATCTGCTATTTACTGACATATGTAACAAGTCTGGCATCATGATATATCGAGTCCATAATCTATGGTTTTCCCCACTTCCTTTAGAAAATGTCATTCTGACAGCCATATATGTTGGAAAAAAGGAGTTAAGTAGCTTACAGTTAACATTAGAAAACTGTAATGAAGAGATGGAAAGACTAAAAATAACCAAAAGAAGTCAGCACAAAAGTTATTTATGAAAAGAGAAGGAAAATAAAAAAAGAAGAGAAAAAAGTGAACAACTCCAATACCTTTCTAAGTCTAAAGTGACCCCATTTTTCTTTTTGGTTGCCTTGGTATCGTCCCGGGGTTGATCCAAGCAGATATACTCTTAAAAAAATTAAATATATGTTAGTTTATTTAGGATTTGGAGTATTATGAACCAAAAAAAAAAAAAAGAGAAAAACAAGTCAGGGGACATAAGGCATTCAAGCAAACTAGCATCCAGAATTGCCAGGTGAGGAACAGAAAGTGGAAGACAGAGTACTTTATTTTATAGACAAAGCCATCATCTTCCATTTAGCATGTAAATCTCAATCTGAATCTAAAAAACTGCACATTAGAGAGAAATTTACATGGACAATTTCCATTTACAAGATTCAACACGGATTTCAATTTAAGTAACTTTATCAGCATGGCCTGATACATTAGCACTGTCAAAATACAGTGTACATAAATACAACAGAAATAATAATACAAACAGAGTAGCTGGATTGTATTCAGTGTATTTTGTTACACAATAGTCCATTACTGATTGCTAGCCTGATAGCAAATGCCAGCCTCTCCATACTGTCTCTTTCCTTTCTCCCAAAGTTATACACAGATTTATTCTTTGCTTTTTAGCAGAGTGTTTTTTACTATTGCTAATAGAAAATCCTTTTCTAATTTTTTTTGTACAGAAAAGGTTTCTCTCTCCACTAAAGTTGGGTTCTCAGCATTTCCAGCATAGTTTACAGAGGGTCTTCCAGCTTCCTCTTCCCTGCCCCTACCCCAGTTGGTGGTTACAAACTCTACATTTAAATAAACTATTTTTAATTTAGTTCTGGGGTCCAGTGACTTATCCTAAATTTACTATAAAAAGCCAGGGAACTTTGCACCCCTTAACATACATTAACTGACAATATTAAATTGCAATTCTTAAAATCAATATATCAGAAATCTCTTAAATAAAACACTCCCAACTCTGTATAACCTACGTTGTGCTCTTAAGAGGCTAGGCACTCAAAGGTATCCACATTAAAAGGTAGCCTGAGATGATACATACCTTGTCTCTGAAAGGTCATGCTCTTGGATGATGTCAGCCCATTCCTTGAGAGTAGGGGAATTATAAGTCATCAGATAGAGTATTAGGTCAGACTTAAAATTGGTTACAGATTCACCAGCAGAACCAGTGGTTCCATGCGGCAGCCTTGGATATAGGGGGCTTAGCCATATTCTAAAAAAGTAGGAAAGAAACACTAAGGCACTATATTTATTCACTTATATATATATATATATATATATATATATATATATATAATGCAATATATGATATTCTAAGAAAAGTAGATCGAGCAGTCCAGTCAGAATCCCAGATAGAAACAGTTTAATTATGTGATGATTCTAGTCACTTTATTAATTACTAATAAAATGACTGGCTTAATCAATTTGTCAAGCATGCACAGTAATCTCAGCTCACTCTTCAGATATAAATGGAAGGTTAATTAAGAACACAATTTATTATTCTGTCAAAATAGAATGGCAAATGTATTATCTATTATAAATTTCTTGGAACACTAGACTGCAATTACGCTCACTGGGTCACAGACTGTGCACCACTTTGACTATTTATCCCCATCCCATAAATCTAGTGCTATATACAAATGTTAAATAAATAATAGTCTGAATCTCAGTGTTTGGACTGACTAGTAATACTTGTATCCAGAACTGTCACTATAAATTGAAAATTACACTCCTGCAAAATAGATTTATCCACCAATTCATGAAATGACAAACAGTTAAATGAACCAAAGCTAGAGGGCCTGAAAGGTCTTTATGCTTTGAAGGAAGGGAACAATCATTTGTCACTCCAAAACTTCTTTCAGCACAGAAATGGGGACATAAGAAAAAGGAGTGAGTCAGTCACCTCCCCAAACTCTTTCTACTATGGAGAAGGGTGTGGATCTGCCACCATCCTCCTTCAAAGTAAGTCAGTGGTGTCCTCTTCAGAAGATTAGGGTTCTAGATGGCAGAAACAATGGTCTCCTATGAGCCTCCTCACAACCCTAGATCTCCTGTTCAGGGTTCTCCAAAGCCTTATTAAGGAGGATGGAGAGTTTTTTTCCTGAGAGTACTAGAAGAACAGGCAACTTTTGGAAACTAATTATGCAGAAAGAAGCTATATGGAGAGGATTTCTAGGGTATGCTGTTTAGCGAAGTTCCCAATACTAACATTTTATTGCCAAATGCAGTGTGGTAGCCATGTTGGACCCAGGACATTAGAGAGACAAGGTGGGTGAGGTAATATCTTTTACTGGACCAACTTCTGTTGGTGAGACACTAAGGGTACGTCTTCACTACCTGCCGGCTCAGCGGGTAGTGATCGATCTATTGGGGAGCGATTTATCATGTCTCATCTAGACGTGATAAATCGATCCCGAATTGATGCCTGTACTCCACCTCAGGAGGAGTAAGCGGAGTGGATGGGGGAGCTGCCGTGGTCAACTCACCACCGTGAGGATGGCCAGGTAACTCGAACTAAGATACTTCGACTTCAGCTACGTGAATAGCTGCCTTAAAACCTCATTTAGGTATCTAACAAGCGAAGTGACTATCACATGCACTAAACTGGTGCATCCCCATTGACTTCCATGAAAGATGCAGTTGCTCTGTTCATTCTGAAAACAGGGAAGTGTATTTAGATGTCTAGATATGGATTGAGGCGTATAAACATAGGCAGCCAAGTTTAAAAAAAGAAAAAAAAATTCTTGGCATACTGTATGTTCTTTCTTGTAAGCTGACCAAATTAGATCTTGAAACAACTGAGATACAATTAAACATTCCATGATACCATTTTTAGAGCGTCTCTTTTCAGAATAAAGCTATACTTTGTGGTTGCTTCCAGATGACTGATTAATAATAGCTGTATTTCCTTAAGACTTAGATGAGGCTTTAGGTTACTAACTTTAAATTTTAAAAAAAATTTAAAATTTTTACCATAGTTTTTCAAATCCCTCCATATATGAAAGTCAGCCTGTGTTTTTCTATCCTCATGAATTATCACCAATAAAAAGAGAGCGAGAGTCCAAATCTTATCCCCAGTCATGTGTCCATTGTGATTGCACAAGTAAACCCAGTTTCTCCTGACATGGCATTGCAGAGCCACAGTAGTTAGTAAAAGTAAGACAACATCCCACCACCACCAAACTACACATGAACACCTATCAGGCCTTATTTATTAAACGTGGAGAGGGAAAAAAAGTCCATTCCTCATCTTCATTTTTCAGGTCATCTTCAACACACATTACAGCATGAGACATGGAGCCTCCCTATTTAACAACTGTTAGGTAGCAAAGCCTCTACTATAACAAAAAAAAAAAAAAAAAAAACAGTTGCTTACCCCTGAGTTTTCTGGTCCCAATCAGCATCAATAAGATTGGATGTGTGTATCACAACTCGAAGACCTTCTTCATATAACAACAACATCATTTTCCTTAGAAATAAATGCACAAAATTCATGAAGTACCATAGTAAGAAAATATAGAGCACAATAAAAATTCAAAAGATTGCTCTATTAAACCCCATTCCTCTCAAATCATTTGGATAATTAACTGCACTATGAAGGACTGGAGCCTTTGTAAGGTCTAGGCAGCCTGATTCCTGAGCCTGTGCGGAGCTCAGGTCATATAATGACCTGGAACCAAAATATATATAAATAAAGACCTGGATCTTGCAAAGTGAGAGTCAGCGCGCGCACACACACACCCCTGCAGTGCAAACCGAGTTTACAATGGACTTCCATCTCTTCCTTAGCATAGTATCATGTAGTCTCTTAACCATTACAGAATATAACTCTAAACTCACGTGGCTGATACCATCTTCAGAAATTTTGCTTTAATCTTTGAACATTAGTGTTCAGCAAACTGGGATTGAAATACCCACTATTGAAAATAGATATTGTAGTTTCACTTGAGCTCATGACATAGTTAAGGCAAAGTAGTTAGGGATCTCAACATAATGTAGTTTTTGGAAACTCATACATCAAATTCTTTATCCAGTGTGGCTAGACTATAAAATAAGTATTTTTACATTACAGTTTGTGTCAAAGTCAGCCTAACTTCAGTACCCGAAAAGATAATGGAGCAAATAATTAAGAATTCAATTTGCAAACACCTAGAAGAGAATAAGATAACAGTCAGCATGGATTTGTCAAGAACAAATTGTGTCAAACCAACCTAATAGTTTTCTTTGACAAGGTAACAAGCCTTGTGGATAGGGGGAAGTGGTAGATGTGGTATATCTTGACTTTAGTATAGCTTGTGCTATTATCTTGCATGACCTTCTCATAAACAAACTAAGGAAATACAACCTAGATAGAGCTACACTTACAACATTTGCAGACGATACCAAGCTGGGAGGGTTGCAAGTGCTATGGAGAACAGGATTAAAATTCAAAATCATCTGGACAAACAGGATAAATGGTCTGAAGGACAAATGTAAAGTACTCCACTTAGGAAGGAACAATCAGTTGCACACATACAAAACGGGAAATGACTGCCTAGGAAGAAGCACTGCAAGAAAGGGATTTGGGGTCACAGTGGATCACAAGCAAAATATGAGTCCACAGTGTAACACTGTTGCAAAAAAAGCAAACATCATTCCGGGATATATTAGCAGGAGTGTTGTAAGCAAGACACGAGAAGTAATTCTTCCACTCTACTCTGCGCTGATTAGGCCTCAACTGAATTTTTGTGTCCAGTTCTGGACACCACATTTCAGGCAAGAAGCCGACAAATTGGAGAAAGTCCAGAGAAGAGCAACAAAAATGATTAAAGATCTAGAAAACATGACCTATGAGGGAAGATTGAAAAAAACTGGGTTTGTTTAGTCTGGAGAGGAGAAGACTGGGAGGGGACATGATAACAGTTTTCAAGTACATAAAAGGTTGCTACAAAGAGGAGAGAGAAAAATTGTTCTCCTTAATCTCTGAGGATTAAACAAAAAGCAATGTGGTTAAATTGCAGCAAGGGCAGTTTAGGTTGGACATTAGGAAAAACTTCCTGTCAGGGTGGTTAAGCTCTGAAATAAATTGCCCAGGGAGGTTGTGGAATCTCCATCATTGGAGATTTTTAAGAGAAGGTTAGACAAACACCTGTCAGGGATGGTCTAAATAATAATCATGCCACAAGTGCAGGGGGATGGACTAGATGACCTCTCAAGGTCCCTTCCAGTCCTACAATTCCATGAAAGGATAATCTTTATAAGAATGATCAAGTTAAAGTTAACAGTGGCTGTCAAAAATACTCTTCCAGCAGCCTCTAAAACACAGTGGTTGACTCTGTGCAGCCTGAAGCCACAAAAGCAAACCAACAGAAACATACAAAGGAAAGGTACACCCGTGTTACAGTCTTCTCTGCATGTCTTGGAATGAGAAGGGTTTTATGATGTTCCAAGGTCTGCGATTAAAATATTTTCAGTTGCTGGGCCCACTGGAGACCGCAAAGCTTCATCTGCAATGGCCTGGGTCTTTTGGGTAATGCACTTCTGAAAGGCAGTCAGAGGATGCACCTTTTCAAAACATTAGGGTCGAATAGAACTATAACATTTAATATGATCATTTAAAACAACTCAAAATACATTGTGGGGAACAAAATAAAATGCAGCATACAGAGAATACTTTAATGAAGCTGGGATGTTCATGCTATGCTATACAATGTTATTCATGCCATTTAATTAATTATAGACAAAAACATTTGAAGGCTTTTTTTTTTTTTAAAAAGGATGAAAGTGGAGTGCCAGCTGTGCTTAACCTTAACAATAGAACTGCTTTCTGTTTAAATAAACAATTAACAATGTGAAGAATAACCACTCATTCCTGCAGCCTAACTTCTTCGACTCAGGAACAGACAACAGCCTGTCTCTTCCAGAGAGAGAAACTGACTGGAACAGTATGACTCTTCTTGTTTGTTACAAGTACTGATTTCTTTTCCCCCCCTCTCTTGCATTCCCCTCCCTAAATAAACAAGATGAAGGTCAGCTGCAGGCATATTCATGAGAAAGTTCATTTAAGATGCTCATCCTTTCAAACCCACTTTTTACCTTCATTTCACCTTTTTATAAAAGTTTCCATAAAAGTCAGTAACCAATTTCAACAGAGCTAGGTGTTGTAATGTCTGAAATCCAAGAAGTACCTTTTTTCTATCTCAAACCCAGAAAGTGTCCAGTAACTAAGGAAGTTTTCTACCTTTGGCTTGCAGGTTGCAAACTCAATACTCTGCTACACCGAGTTGTAAAGAGTCCATTTGTGACAGTTTTCCCATTTTCCAAAACTCCTATCTGGAGCAGTTACTTAAAAATCCAACCCTTTTGCTCCCAGTTTTGTTTTCTTTTTCTAAAGCAAACCTGTTTTATTCTCCTAGAATTTTTTTCTAAACCAAAGAATAGATAGGAAAAAGAGACATCAGTGATGTCCTGAAATTTCACTCTGCAACAGCCTTTTCTGACATGTCTGAAATCTAAATTGTACAGGAATAAAACATGCCACTGGAAAACAGCAATGATATCAATATGGGGGAGAAGAGGGGTCCCAAACCATATAGCAGTGGCCTTTCTCCTCTGTTAAACTATATGTGATCATGGGACGATGTATACTGACATAGCATCAAGGATTAAAATTAATCCCAGGTCAGATAACCTGTAAACCAGCATAGGCACCATTAAACACCAAGTTATTATTGCTTAAGTAGTGCTTAGGGTATTATGGGTACCATCTGCATTCAGATGAATTGCACCATAACTGTTTTGTTTTAATAACAGAGAAAAGTTCTTAGCTTGTTTATCAGTAACAATGCAGAAAGGACACTTGTGGTTTATTATCCAATGTTCAGGTTCCAATCTTGACAGTGTCACAAGTGTCATTTTTCAGCAATACATCCTGTCAACCACAGGCATACTATAAAATGCCAGTTTCATCTTAAATATATACATACATACGTACACACCATTTAAAACTTTCCAAAGAGACATCAGCTTTCTTTTAAACTTGCTTTTGTAGTGAATGGCCATTAGTCCAGATTTGTAAAGATACATGTTTATATTGCGCAATAAGCAAGAACTGTAACTGCAAAAGTGAGTGCAGCGTATTTGAGTGGCCTACTGAAATCTGTCCAAGATTGATTACAGAACAGAAGCCTTAATTTCTGGACTATGTGCAAATTTGATTTTCTGCTACCTTCAGTTTGCTGGCTAAGCAATTATCCTTGTAAATTTGCAAGCCCCCCCTTTCCCACTTTTCTTTTTTAAAAAAAACAGCCAGCATGTTTTAATCTCCTAGAATAATTTTTTTTTAAATCAAAGACTAGAAATCCATGACTTATTAAGTGAGAAAAAGAGTAACAGGCTAAAAACATTAAGTCTCCTTGAGAGTTAGTTATGGCTGAGAAATGAAACAAAGCACTGTGATCCTTATAAATAGGGCCCTACCAAATTCATGGCTGTGAAAAACACATCATGGACCATGAAATCTGATCTCCCCCACACTATATGGCTATCGTAGGGATGGGGCAGGGCTGGGGACACCCCAGCTGGGAGCTCCTACCATGTGCCAGGCTCCAGGGGACCACCCCCACATATCCTGTGACCCTCACTTCTAGCTGCTGCTGGCAGTAACGTTGGCTTTAGAGCTGGGCGCTGCCCAGCCAGAACGCAGTGCTGCTGCCAGCAGCAGAGCAGAAGAAGAGTGGCAATCCCGCAACCCCCCAAAACTTCCTTTTGGGTCAGGACCTCCATGGTTACACCACCACAACACTGTGAAATTTCAGCTGTAAACATCTGAAACTGTGAAATTGACTATTTTAAAAATTCTATGGCCATGAAATTGACCAAAATGGACTGTGAATTTGGTAGGGCCCCACTTATAAACATTTGTAAATACCATGGGGAACACTATGTAGTTCTTTGAAACCTCAGTCTCTACCAATGTACAGACTAGCCTTTAAATTCAAAAGCATCTTTATAACCCAGCTTTCCCACCCTATGAATTGTTCTTTAAAGCATTAGAGATAATGCATACATTTTATACAGCAGCCCCAGCATTATCTTTAAAACTGGACTTTCCTGCTTCACAGCAATTACTTACGTGTGGTGGGTTCCAAAGGCAATATCCAGCTTAGCCTAGAACAATGAAAATTAGGTAATTATTTCATTAAAAAAACCAACATCCTAATACAATCAAAAAGAGAGAAGGTTGCAGCTTGCATTTTGCTTCAATTACTGCTCTCTAGTGGAGAAATCACCAAATTACAACACAGCCACTTTTACCCCAAGCACCTGTAGATGCAATCTCCAATTGCTAAAAGTGAATGATCTTTACATATTACACCATTCACCATTATTGTGACTGAGACATTAGGCCAAAGTTCTTTTGGTATTGTAAGAGCAGTGTTTCCAAAGACACTCAAAGCCTTCTGGGGTGTGACAGCTCTGTTGCAGGCAGTTAAAATTAAGGTTTATTTGATGTGGGAGAGAGGAGCAAGACATACAAGAAACTACAGATGAAAGGCAATTCTATATTTCTACACTGTTTATTTACACTGCCCAGGGAGAGAGAAGCAACCCCTCAGACCACTCCAGACCGCTATTTTGGGAGTACGTTATTTTAATTTGTTAATCACCGGCATCTAGTAGTTGCAACACCAAAAGTCACACCTCATTTACATATTCAAATACATAACCATGTCTTTAGGAGGAGGTTTTGTTTTGTTTTTTTAAAGAAATGGCTCTCTTATTTCAGTAATAGGTTGAATATAAAGCATGCTTATTGTGGAGCCCATAAAACTTGTAGGATTTATGTTCAGGTACTGAATGACATTATATACAAACAAATCCTCTACCATACATAATACACTACTAGGAAAACAGTGTGAAGACAAATGGAATTTTCATAAACACCATTTGCCCTACAATATTATGATCTATGCTAGCATAGTCCTTTGTACTATGGTATTCCAGCAGAGGTTACGATATTGTCTTGTCAAAAGAAGGATGAGTTAAGAGTGAATTACCTGGCAAAGGCGGACATTTTCATATGGGTGTGCCTGTGCATGCAGTTCAGCCTTGGATTCTCGCTTTTCACCATGTACTATTAATAATGGTTTTTTCCTTAAAACAAAATTAAAAAGTGATGATTTTAATAAAAACTTTATCAGGTGGGTTAGCAGGTTACTCAGAGGCAGCAATCTACCGTAGCTGCTCTTTCATGTAGCTACAATTTCTGGTTCCCAACTCCCACACTCTAGCAAAGAAAGGGAGGTATAATTTGCACTGCCAATCAATAACACCAAGGAATTAAAGAAGTGATTAGGATATAAGCTTCTGAGAAAGAGGTGCTACAAACTCAGTTGGAAGAGAAGCGGGAGCGGTTTAGAGACCATAAGGGAAACTGTCTCAGAAGGCAGGCTTCCAGCTTTGTTGTAGCTGTGCTGGTCCCAGGATATGAGAGAGACAAGGTGGGTGAAGCAATATCTTCTACTGGACCAACAACTGTTGGTGAAAGTGACAAGCTTTTGAACTACACAGAGCTCTGGGTGACCTGAAGAAGCACTTGATGAAAGAGACAAGCTACATGGATGTCTTCTTCAGGTCACCCAGAACTCTATCTCAAAAGCTTGTCTCTTTCACTAACAGAACTTGGTCCAATAAAATATATTGTCCACTTTTGTCTCTAAGAAGAAAGCAGCAGATAAAATCCCCTTGGAAGATCTTAGATTCAGAAGCATTGAGAAAGGCTCCCTTAGGTAGTGATCTGCATAGCACTCCTGCTCAAAGTTCACCACAGCATTTTGACAGTCATATTCACTCCCTAATGCTCCACTCCATTGCATTTCTAGTGTGATGGAAACAGCAAAGTGACATTTAGGAGAATGATGTACACATTTTGTTTAGAAGCCTACAGCACGCAAAGATAAGGATGGAGTGGAGTGACAGGGAGATATTAACAATAATTGGTATTGTGATAGCACCCAGAGGTCTATCATTCAAGGTGCTATGCAAACATACTCGCTGCCCCAAATGACGACCAGTCTGAAAAGACACGAAACGAAGGAAGGGGGAGTGAAAAAACAACATACCAACAAAATAGTCCATAGAGCAACAGGTATTTTTTTTGTTAATTCCTCCCGTTAACACACACACAGGGTCTAAGAAGGAAGAAAGCAATAAGCCTGGTTCAAGTCCCCCCTCTGCCTAAGGATCAGCTACTTCTCAGGTGAGTGGTCTAACCACTGAACTAGGATATATTCTGATACTGGGCTTCCTCAATCTGTCCTGTTGAAGCTTCATTGTTAAAGAGTCATTGGAACAGGAGGACTAGCTCGTGGGTCTCCCACATCCTGAGTGAGTGCTCTAACCACCAGGCTACAGAGTCACTCCTGCTTGCTCTCTCTCTCTCGCCCAAATGACTAATTATTCATCCAAAGTGGAACAGCTTCAAACAGGAGAGAGCAAGGGAGCCCCACATCAGAATAAAACAGCAGTTAGGGCACTCTCCTGAGAGGTGGCAAATTCCTGTTCAAATCCCTTCTCCCCTTCAGGCCAAGGGAAAACTTGAACTCTGGGTCTCCCACAACCCAGGTGAGTACCCTCACCACTGGTCTAAAAGTCGTAAGGGAAGGAAGGAGTTTCTCCCCCTCCCGGCTTCTTCCAAAAACAGCACAGGAGCCTAACTCCAGGAAAGAGTCTCAGTTGAGAATGGCAGAGATATTTGCCTCCCTGCAGCCTGGACTTAGATGCCTATACCTTCATGAGATAGGTGGGGCTTAGCACACACCCTCTTGTTGGCATCTCCCATTGGCTAGCTTAGCAGCTCCTTGCCTAGCATAGCCTTGCCTAGCTGGGTTTTGTCAATTGTAGTCTAAGGTGCCTCTCTCCCCATTTATTCTGTAGAGAGCCCAGATGCAAAACTCAGGGTTTGTGAATCAGTGATTTTATAGGTGCCAAAATGTTGGGTGCTAAGACATTCAGCATTCAACACTTAACTCCTTTTGTACATCCAGGCCATACAGTTTTAGGGCTGAAAGCTATTCATTTATTTGAGCCTGCCTGTTAGTATGCTTCTCCCTGCTAGTTTGTATCTTTTTACCAGCCACAGAAGTACCTTGTTGTTTTCTTCCTACTTAGACCCTTTGTGTGTGTGTGTTAGTTAAAGGGAGGAATTAAAAAATGTGCCTATTGCCACACAGACTATTTTGCTTGTATGTTGTTTTTCACTTCCCCTTCCTTTGTTTCTGGTCTTTTCAGACTGCTCATCATTTGGGGCAGCAACTATGTTTGCACAGCACCCACAGAATGATTGGACTCTGACCCCTGGGTACTTCACAATCCCAAATAATATTATCTCCCCGCCACGCCACTCCACTCTATCCACAAGTGTGCTGTAAGCGTGACCAGAGTCCTCCTACTAGATCAGGCCCTGCATGTGACTTTGGTGTTCGAATGCCTATCTTACCCTGGTTTGTGAATTGTTGTAGGGCTTGCAACACTGTATGGAATATGTGTGACCATTTATAATATTACTAATACCAGTATTATAAAATTGCCATGAATCTTATACAAGATATGCCATGTAAGGGATCAGTAGAAAAGTTAGGATTTGCCAAGTGTGATAATCTTGTTTATATATTTGTATCGTCTTTCTATTGTGTTATAAATGTGCAATATATCTGTATCTCAAACCTGTGCCATTTTTCTGGGTCACATCCCCAGACAGTTTGACATCAGCACCATCTAGCCAGTTGGATGGGCCATGAAGGGCAATCAGCTATACAATGAACCCATTAAGAGAAGCCAGGGGTTTCTTATGAGTCAGCAGGACATGTAGAGACATGCTGGTGACCAGGGGACTCCCACATGCTGTAAATTTGTGTTTGGGACAAAGTAAGTACAAGCGACATAGCAAAGGATATAAAAAGGAAATTGCATCTTCTCCATTTAGTCTTCAATCCTGCTTCTCACCTTGGTAATTTCTCTACAAACTGAAGCACTGAACAAAGGAAAGGACTGACAGACCCATCCAAGCTTTGCATGCATTCCAGAGGGATTCTACAAGCCAGCAAACTCACAAATGCTGCTAAGAACCTGATATATGGACTCTGAAGTCTTACGTATGTATCTGACCATTTTGATGATTTAACAACTCTCTTCTTTTATTTTATAATAAACCTTTCATTTTAGATACTAAAAGATTGGCTGGCAATGTGGTATTCTGGGTAAGATCCAAACTAATATTGATCCGGTAATGTGGCTGGCCCTTTGGGGATCAGAAGAACATTTTATACAGTGAGCAGAGTTTTTAAATAATGCCTCATTTTACTGGACCTATGAGCTGATTGGGAGCCAGAGAACTGGAATAAATGGGGCTGCGTGATTTCTTTTTTTCAGATTCCGGATAACCGGCGTGGGCGATCAGAAGCACAGTTCGTGACTAGTTGGTGAGTCCAACTTCAGTGTTAACCTCCAGTTTTGGGAGAATCTGCTCTCTTTTTTGCAGCCTGCCCTGTCCTTGACATTTTTAGTGCTGGCTAACCTAGGCACCAGCGGTCAGCAGACTTACACAGAAGATAGGCTCCCAAACACCTAGGGTGAGGCAGCAGTGTGCATGCTCAGAGGCAGAAACACAGGCACCTAGAAAACTTTTACAGCAAAAACTTAGGTGCCACATGAGTTCAGCAGAGTTTTGTGCACTGCAGTGAAGCTGAAACTGGGACTTAAGCACCTAAACCAGGGACCTAGCCACTTAACTCTTTTTGTGCATCCAGGCCTAAGTAATTTTCATGCTCACACACAAAAAATCATTATGATTTAACACAGAATTCTAAAATATCCTGAAAAAGTCATACCTGAATTCCTGTGGATACTGTCTTATGAGCCATTCCACATCTATACAATAGTTAAACTTACAATGGAGAGAAAAGGAAAGGCCAGTTAAAAAAAGGGCAAAGACTTCACTAAAGCAGCAACTACAGGGAGAAATATTTTGCACTGAAAATTACTGGTGTGTACAGCAGTACTTATTATGTTTTAGAGTACATTTCAAGTAGGGCTGGCAAACTATTAAAAATAGCAACTAATCATGAGATTAATCACACTTAATAATAGAATACCAATTTACATTTATTATAAATATTTTGGATGTTTTTCTACATTTTCAAATATATTGATTTCAGTTAGAACACAGAATACAAAAAGTGTACAGTGCTCACTTTATATTATTTTTCATTACACTGCTGTGGGGAAAGACTCCAGCAGCAGAGAGGCAGCTGGATACTACACTGATAAAAACAGGATCATGGGAGTCACTGCTTGGAAGCATAGAGCGCAGTGTAGGGTACATACACAAAAGATCCAGCGTGTCCGTACTCTACTCACCAAGGCTGTACTTCCCCAATCTACACTGCTATTGATATCCATGCTAGCTGGGCATGCAGTGTTTGTACTCTAAATGCCACTGAAAGTGAAAACATAGCCTAAGATGAAGTTTTTTAGGATTAGCCTGAATTTTGAGCAGAAGAGAGAATATTTCACTCAGACATAAAATATGTCTCCTTCAGAAAGCGTGTGGCTTTTTAAGTATTTTCCCACTGTTCCAGTTATATTTAAATGGGAAGGGCTAGATTCTGATATTAGTTACACTGGATGAGTCTAGAGTAGCAGCCTTGAGGTCAATGGAATTATATCAGCATAAACCATTGAAAGTGAGTTCAAAATTTGAAAGGGAAAAACAAAACAAAACAGCAAGACATAAAACTCACCTGAGCAGAAGATACAAGAGTCCCAAAGAGAGGAGACAAAATATCTATTAAAAAACAACACACTATTAACCACATCTTTATTTGTAAAATACTCATATACACTTTAGATCTTGTAACAATTTGTTAATTACTATTGCACATGGTCCTAGTAAAATGATAGGGAGACTTCCTCATCTAGATTGCTGGCTTAAATGCAGTCCAGACAAGCAGCATCAGCAACTGTTTGTGAAATAATCTGGGGTGACAGACCAGTTCATTGATTGTCTGTCTACCAAAAAAATAGCAAACTTGTTAGCAGAGAATGGAAGAATATAGTGAGCAATGGAGAATGAGCTACCCTGTCACCTCTGAAGGTAGGCCCTCCAAAACAGATTTGAAGAACATCAGCAAGGTAACGTGAAGATATTTGTACTGATACTGTCCATACTATGCTTGTGCTGGACACGAAGGACTTGAGTCTCCTGACAACAATTCAGCATTTTCCCACTTTTTTTTTTTTTTTTTGGTGGTGGGGGGGGAAGGAGGAGGAGAAGCAAATGCAGCTAGAGCACAGAGACAGCCTCTGATCCTGCAACTGGATTCATAGAGGTCAACTCCTACTGAAGTCAATGAGGCCACACAAGAGTCTTATTGCAGGCCCAAGACAGAAGCTTCATATTCTTTGTGTACTAGAATTTATAATAGATTGCTCACAGATAATGCAATGTGTGAAGCACTAAAAGATTTAGTTCAAAATATAATCACATGCATGCTTTCCCAAAATATTATCAGATGAAATATTTTAAGACTCTTCCCACAAAACCTGGTTTTGCAGATTAAATGCACAAAAACTATCACCTAGTTCAGGGCTCAATCAAGCAAGATGCAGAGCACTTCTGAGAAAAGATGAAAGCCCTCAAGTCCCACTGAAGTCAAAGATGTGAGAATCCTCAGCATCTTGATTTACTCCTTTAAAATCTCGTGGTATGGATCCGTCAGACAACACATCAGCACTTTGGGCATACAACACTGGTGAGAATATTGGCTAAAGAATCAACCACACCCTGAGGCATGACTCTCATCACTTAATTTCATTGTACACAAGTACAGGGCTACAAATATGTACACTCATATTGGTACAAGCACTTCCATTTTGCTAAAGGTCAGCCCACAACTCTCATACTGAAATAAATGCACACTATGACTATTTAATTAAATGTACACAGACTGTTAGTGTAACATTGCTGCTGAAGTTCAAGATGTACAACATATGTATTAAGAAATATGAAGTTATTTTTTGCACATCAGCCATAACTGGCCTATTTATCTGGTGTGTCATCTTTGAAGTGTCAATACTCCACACAGAAGGAGTTATTCAACTTTGGGTTACACCCAGATCTCCAGTCATTTCTAGGACTGCAGATCCAAGAGCTTTAAAAGTTCAGCAATAAGAGCATTCACAGTGGTATAAGGCAATTGCAAATTTTGAGGGGTAGGTAATTCAGCACCTAGGAAATGCACTTTATTCCAGGGAGCCTCCAACTGGTGGGACTCCTAGAAGATCCTAATAATGAATTCAAATCCTTCTCCCTCAGCAGAACCCCAGAAGGAAGCAATGCAAGCACCATGCAACCTCTCTCAGGTAGATGCATTCCAAGGGTGCACTCTAACCCAGAGGCTGTATTGGGAACTGGTACCCAAAGGGTTATGGCCATAAAACACAGCTTATACCATCCATATATTACATATTTCCAAAAGAGGGACTATAACTGAATTTCACGACTTGTGTGTTAAGAAAGTCAAGCTACATTACAGTAATGCTTACACATACTTACAACACACATATACAAGAACGCTTTCTTTAATGCTCCCGTTCTACTTGAAACACTGTTTCTGTAGGAATTAAACACTCACCTTTTATGTGAAGGGCTCCAGAGTTGTATTTAGACTTAATACCTTTGACTTTAGTGACAAAGAATCTGAAAGGATTCCCTCCATTCAACAAATCCCAAGTGTCCTGGCCTTCACTTGCTACCTTATAATGTTTTTCTGGCTTTTGGCTCACTGGGAGCTCATTATCTTCACATCTATGTGAAGGCTGCTTTTTAGGTGCACTGAATTTCTCCACTTTGACTGCTTCCTTTTGTGCATGCTTCAGCTGACCTTCAGATTCAGGTTCCTCATCACTACTTGAAAGGCACCAGCCTAAACCTTCTTGGGAAGTTCTCTGGATTTTTGCTGGTGAAATCTCTGTAGAAAAACTTTTATCACTAAATTTCACAGGGGAGGCTTTTCTCTTTTGACCAACTTTTCTGGCCTCTGAACATGGGTACTGTGATCCACTAGTTTTGCCATGTCCACTGAGAGACAAAGAAGATGTAGATGGCTTCTCAGCATCATTTTCTTCTGTACTTTCATCACTGCTGGATACCGTCCATCTCCCATGCTCACTTTCTTGAGACATGTTTCTGAAAAAAACACCCACAAAAGCTGTGCTTTATGCCTACTGTACTTCTCACAAGGGCATTTTCCTTGCCAGAGCTTATTTACTCATTAACCATCCTGAACTTTCACCCTGCCTTTGAGATTTTCTTATTTAAGGGGTCATCCAGAGAGCTTCTCACTTAGAAATCCTCCAAATATGCAAGATTTAGGTTCCGTCTACATGTAAACTGCTACTGTGGAGTCACTCACTACAGCGACAGGAGGGGTTCTCCAATCACTGTAGTTAATCCACCTCCCCAAGAGGCAATAGCTAGGTCTACAGAAAACAGAATATATAGAATTCTTCAGTTGACCTAGTGCTGTCTGCACTGGGGATTAGATTGGTTTAACTACATAGCTCAGGGGGTGTGGATTTTTCAAACCCCTGAACAATGTAGATGGTTTGACCTAACTTTTTAGGATCGCTCTGGCCTTAAATCAAGATTTTAAGCCTGGGAGACAGACTACAACACCTACTGCAGGGGTTCTCAAAATGGGGGGTGGGACCCCCAGGGGGTTATGAGGTTATTACATGGGGGGGGGCCCACAGGCTGTCAGCCTCCACCCCAAACCCCGCTTTGCCTCCAGCATTTATAATGGTGTTAAATATATTAAAAAGTGTTTTTAATGTATAAGGGCGGGGTTGCATTCAGAGGCTTGCTGTGTGAAAGGGGTCACCAGTACAAAAGTTTGAGAACTACTGACCTACTGACTTTTGCAATGGGAGAGCACATCGAAATGACAGGCTACGAACCAATGGGGAAACCACTATTAAAAAAACAAGCTTGGGAAAAGAAAACCTTATTTAAAAGGCTGAAGCAGGAAAAAGGATTGAGGTTCAGGTTAATTACTTTCATAACCAGTTCAGCAACTATCCCTAGTATACTGCACATGTAACAACAGCCAGCAGGAAGCGAAAGGCAACTAGTTTATTAATCCAGGGGTCAAACCGACAAATGAAAGACCTGTATCAAAAGAAAAACTGTAAGGCTAATAGCCTCTAATCTAGAGCCATGATGCCTATAGGAAATCAGTCATAAACTAATGGCTAGATTGAGATAGCTGGCACTTATTTGTAAAAGGAGAGAAAAAGGTACAGTACATATACGTTGTATCTATTAGACCAGTGGTTCTTAACCTGGGGTGCACACACCCCCTGGGGGTGTGAGATGCCCTTTCTGGGGTGCGAGACATGCCAGATTTTTTAAGAAAGTAAATCATCAAAAACACAAATTAAGCACAGACATGTATGTACAACTACTTTGTTTCATCAAACCTATGTATTTATTAACATTATACATTTTTTACCGATTACTGTAATATACAAACAAAAAATATATCTAGGTTTAAAGAACTGACCTACTTCAATGATTTTTGATAAGGGGTGAGAGAACATATTTTGAGAACCAAAGGGGTGCAGGCTGCAGTAAAGGTGAAGAACTACTGTATTAGACTAAAAGAAAAGGAGTACTTTTGGCACCTTAGAGACTAACAAATTTATTTGAGCATAAGCTTTCATGAGCAATGAAGTGAGCTGTAGCTCATGAAAGCTTACGCTCAAATGAATCTGTTAGTCCCTAAGGTGCCACAAGTACTCCTTTTCTTTTTGCAGATACAGACTAACACAGCTGCTACTCTAAAACCTGTATTAGACTAGTATCAGGAGTAGCCATGTTAGTCTGGATCTGTAAAAGCAGCAAAGAGTCCAGTGGCACCTAACAGACGTATTAGAGCATAAGCTTTCGTGTGTGAATACCCACTTCGTCGGTATCCGTACATTCCTGAATTAGCTCTCATTTTGCAAAGACTTGTACACATATTTAACTCAGTAGAACTATTAGTATGTAAAGTTAAGCACGTATATGGGTTAGGGTCTTAGGGTTTGTCTACACATGGAGTTATTCCAGAACAAGCATCCTGTGTGGACACATTTATTCTGAAATAACAATGCCTTGACCCTGTTTAGTGTAATCCACTTTGAAAATCTCATGTATATATAGATGGTGTCCTTCCAGACCAGCTCCACCTAACGCCTTTTACTCTCTAAAGTCAAATTGTACATTCACCCAACTAGCTGTCACGTGCAGCCAAACAAACCCCTAGATTGAAAGCGCTTCGTGGGGAGAACCCTGCCTTTGTCCAGCACCCAGCTCAACACGGCCCTGGTCCCGAGGGGAGATACAGCCAACCCACTCGGGACCAGACCCCCCACTCCCAGCGCGACACGGGGAGCCCGCAGGACCATCCGCCGCAGAGGGGCACACGCCGCGGCGCTGAGCCAGACGGCCGGTACCGCCCAGGGCTCCCGCCACCCGCTGGGGCAATGGGTGCTCCAGGGCCACTGCAGCAAGGGGCGCAGCCGCAGCCGCATCCCCTGCACCGCCCCCGCTTCCCCGGGCTCAGGGACGCTGCTCACCTGAGCTCCAGCGCTGCCGGCGCCTGAATCGTCCCGCGCAGCGCCAGGTCACTTCCCGTTCCGGAGCGGGCTCCCTCCGGGTCCTATCAGCCGTCTGGTACGCGTGGGTCCCTTACGGAGGGGCGGGGCCTGGGAAAGCCGGGGGCGGGACCATCCCAACCGCCTCAGCCAATGGCGGCTTCCCCTCGCTCCGCACCAATAGCAGGCGGCGTTGTGGTTGCCCCGCGGAAGTCAAGCGAGGCGGGCGGGTTGCGAGAACGGAGAAGGCGGGGGAGGGCAGCGGTGTCATGTGCGCAGCCCCCAGTCGAGCGGGGAGCGGCGGGTCGGGCAGGGAGCGTTACGTGCGGGTAGGTAACGGTCCGGGGCGCCCCGCGGGGGTGCGGGTTCCCCCATACTCAGGGGGCCGGGTGCGGGCCCGATTACTTTGTAGGACCCGCGGCTGCGGGGGAGGCGGTCGCGGGGATAGTGGCCTGACAGTGACCGGGCAGCTCCGTGGGGCTCCAGCGGAGGGGTCGCAGCCTGGGCTGTGGCCGGCCCTCAGTTCCACCGGCGCGTTGTGACGGGGCTCGCCCTTGATCCCCTCCCCCCCCCGCCTCTGAAACCCCTCGGAGCTAGGCGTGCTGGAAGGCGGCGGAGAGCGGGAGAGGAGCTGGTGCCACCGCCGGGGGGGGGGAGAAAATTCTGCTTCGCACCCAGCCGCTGGCCGGGGCACGGTCCCCAGTTCAGCAGCCAGTCAGCCGCAGATTTCCTACGCGTCTAAGGGTATGTCTACACTACGGAATAAGGTCGAATTTATAGAAGTCGGTTTTTTAGAAATCGGTTTTATAAATTCGAGTGTGTGTGTCCCCACAGAAAATGCTCTAAGTGCATTAAGTGCATTAACTCGGCGGAGCGCTTCCACAGTACCGAGGCAAGCGTCGACTTCCGGAGCGTTGCACTGTGGGTAGCTATCCCACAGTTCCCGCAGTCTCCGCTGCCCATTGGAATTCTGGGTTGAGATCCCAATGCCTGATGGGGCTAAAACATTGTCGCGGGTGGTTCTGGTACATATCGTCAGCCTCCCGTCCCTCCCTCCCCCGTGAAAGCAAGGGCAGACAATCATTTGCGCCTTTTTCCTGAGTTACCTGTGCAGACGCCATACCATGGCAAGCATGGAGCCGCTCAGGTAACTCACCCTATGTCTCCTGGGTGCTGGCAGACGCGTACGGCATTGCTACACGTAGCAGCAACCCCTTGCCTTGTGGCAGCAGACGTACAGTACGACTGGTAGCCTCATCGTCATGTCTGAGGTGCTCCTGGTCGCCTCTGTGAGGTCGATCAGGAGCGCCTGGGCAGAATGGGCACAGGGACTAAATTTGGAGTGACTTGACCAGGTCATTCTCTTTAGTCCTGCAGTCAGTCCTATTGAACCGTCTTATGGTGAGCGGGCAGGCATACGACTGCTAGCAGTCGTGCTGTACCATCTTCTGCCGAGCAGTCATGAGATGTGGATGGCATGCAGTCCGTCTGCTGCCAGCCAAAGATGTAAAAGATAGATGGAGTGGGTCAAAACAAGAAATAGACCAGATTTGTTTTGTACTCATTTGCTTCCCCCCTCCCCTGTCTAGGGGACTCATTCTTCTAGATCACACTGCAGTCAAGGTCAGCGAGGTAAATCTAGCCATGTATCAATCAGAGGCCAGGCTAACCTTCTTGCTCCAATAAGGACAATAACTTAGGTGACCATTTCTTATTGGAACCCTCTGTGAAGTCCTGCCTGAAATACTCCTTGATGTAAAGCCACCCCTTTGTTGATTTTAGCTCCCTGAAGCCAACCCTGTAAGCGCCCTCCCAGCGTCAGAGCAATGCAAACAATCGGGCATCTGAGAGTCTGTCCAGAGCAGTCACAATGGAGCCCTGATGGGCTAAAACATTGTCGCGTGGTTCTGGGTACTGTCGTCAGGCCCCCTTCCCTCCCTCCCTCCTGAAAGCAAGGGCAGACAATCATTTGCGCCTTTTTTCCTGAGTTACCTGTGCAGACGCCATACCACAGCAAGCATGGAGCCCCTCAGGTAACCGTCACCCTATGCTCCTGGGTGCTGGCAGACGCGTACGCTTTGCTCACAGTAGCAGCAACCCCTTGCCTTCTGGCAGCAGACGGTCAATACGATTGGTAGTCGTCCTCATCGTGTCCGAGGTGCTCCTGCCTCGGCTGGGACGCCTGGGCAGACATGGCCAGGGACTAAATTTGGAGTGACTTGACCAGGTCATTCTCTTTAGTCCTGCAGTCAGTCCTATTGAACCGTCTTATGGTGAGCAGGCAGCGATACGACTGCTAGCAGTCGTACTGTACCATCTTCTGCCAGGCAGCAGAGATGAGATTGCTAGCAGTCTATTGCACCATCTTCTGCCAGGCAGGCAAGAGATGGGATGGCTAGCAGGCTACTGTACCATCTTCTGCGAGCAGCCATGAGATGTGATGGCATGCAGTCCTTCTGCACTCTGCTGCCAGCCAAAGATGTAAAAGATAGATGGAGTGGGTCAAAACAAGAAATAGACCAGATTTGTTTTGTACTCATTTGCCTCCTCCCCTGTCTAGGGACTCATTCCTCTAGGTCACACTGCAGTCACTCACGAGAAGGTCAGCAGGTAAATCTAGCCATGTATCAATCAGAGGCCAGGCTAACCTCCTTTTCCAATAACAACGATAACTTAGGTGCACCATTTCTTATTGGAACCCTCCGTGCAGTCCTGCCTGAAATACTCCTTGATGTACAGGCACCCCTTTGTTGATTTTAGCTTCCTGAAGCCAACCCTGTAAGCCGTGTCGTCAGTCCCCCTCCCTCCTCAGAGCAACGGCAGACAATCGTTCCCCCTTTTTTCTGTCGGACGCCATACCACGCAGCATGGAGCCCGCTCAGCTCACTTTGCAATTAGAGCACATTAACCACCACACGCTTATTCAGCAGTATATGCAGCACCAGAACATGGCAAGCGATACCGCAGAGGCGACGTCAGGTCCGTGAGTGATCAGGACATGGACACAGATTTCTCTGAAAGCATGGGCCCTGACAATGCATGCATCATGGTCTAATGGGGCAGGTTCATGCTGTGAACGCCGATTCTGGGCTCGGAAACAAGCACAGACTGGTGGGACCATAGTGTTGCAGGTCTGGGACGATTCCCAGTCTACGAAACTTTCGCATGCGTAAGGGCACTTTCATGGAACTTTGTGACTTGCTTTCCCCTGTCCTGAAGCGCATGAATACCAAGATGAGAGCAGCCTCACGTTGAGAAGCGGTGGCGATAGCCCTGTGGAAGCTTGCAACGCCAGACGCTACCGGTCAGTTGGGAATCAATTTGGAGTGGGCAAATCTACTGTGGGGGCTGCTTGATGCAAGTAGCCCACCAATCAAAGATCTGCTGATATCAAGGGTAGTGACCCTGGGAAATGTCAGGTCATAGTGGATGGCTTTGCTGCAATGGGATTCCCTAACTGTGGTGGGGCTATAGATGGAACCCATATCCCTATCTTGCACCGACACCAAGCCGCCAGTACATAAACCGCAAGGGGTACTTTTCGATAGTGCTGCAAGCTCTGGTGGATCACAAGGGACGTTTCACCAACATCAACGTGATGGCCGAAGGTCATGATGTCGCATCTTCAGGAACTCTGGTCTGTTTCAAAAGCTGCAGGAAGGGACTTTATTCCCAGACCAGAAAATAACTGTTGGGGATGTTGAAATGCCTATATGTATCCTTGGGGACCCAGCCTACCCCTTAATGCCATGGCTCATGAAGGTACACAGGCGCCTGACAGTAGTCAGGAGCTGTTCAACTACAGGCTGAGCAAGTGCAGAATGGTGGTAGAATGTGCATTTGGACGTTTAAAGGGTGGCGCAGTTTATTGACTCGCTTAGACCTCAGCGAAACCAATATTCCCACTGTTATTACTGCTTGCTGTGTGCTCCACAATATCTGTGAGAGTAAGGGGGAGACGTTTATGGCGGGGTGGGAGGTTGAGGCAAATCGCCTGGCTGCTGGTTACTCAGCCAGACACCAGGCGTTAGAAGACACAGGAGCGCGTACCATCAGAGAAGCTTTGAAAACAGTTTTATGACTGGCAGGCTACTGTAAAGTTCTGTTTGTTTCTCCTTGATGAACCCCCCCACCCCTTGGTTCACTCTACTTCCCTGTACTAACCACCCTCCCCTCCTCCCTTTAATCATTGCTTGCAGAGCCAATAAAGTCATTGCTGCTTCACAGTCATCATCGTTATTCATTCATCACACAAATAGGGGATGACTACCAAGGTATCCCAGGAGGGTGGTGGAGGAGGAAGGAAAATGCACACAGCACTTTAACACAGCACTTTAAAAGTTTACAACTTTAAAATTTATTGAATGACAGCCTTCTTTTTTTTGGCAATCCTCTGTGGGGAGTGGCTGGTTGCGGAGGCTCCCCACCGTTCTTGGGCTCTGGGTGTGGAGGCTATGGAACTTGGGGAGGAGGGCGGTTGGTTACAGAGGGCTGCATGGCAGTCTGTGCTCCAGCTGCCTTTGTGCAGCTCAACCATACACTGGAGCTACTGGTTTGTCCTCAGCAGCCTCAGCATTGAATCCTCCTCCTCTCATCACCTCCCACCTTTGACTTCAGCCCTGTCTTCACCCGCCACTTCCTCTTCAGCCCGCCACCTCTCCTCCCGTCATTTTGTGCTTTCCTGCACTTGACATTATTTGCCTCCACCATTCGTCTGTGCTCTGTCAGTGTGGGAGGACAGCATGAGCTCGGAGAACATTTCATCGCGAGTGCGTTTTTTTTTCTTTCTAAGCTTCACTAGCCTCTGGGAAGGAGAAGATCCTGTGATCATTGAAACACATGCAGCTGGTGGAGAAAAAAAGGGACAGCGGTATTTAAAAAGACACATTTTATAAAACAGTGGCTACACTCTTTCAGGGTAAACCTTGAAAGTTAACATTACATACATAGCACATGTGCTTTCGTTACAAGGTCGCATTTTGCCTCCTCCCACCGCGTGAACGGATTTTGGTTGAATGCCAGCAAACATACACTGCAATGCTTTGTTCTACAGTGATTCCCCAGTACGTGTTGCTGGCCTGAGTGGTAAAGTGTCCTACCATGAAGGACGAAATAAGGCTGCCCTCCCCAGAAACCTTTTGCAAAGGCAGAACCGCAAATGCCAGGGCAAAGTAATCCTTTCACATGCTTGCTTTTAAACCATGTATAGCATTTTAAAAGGTACACTCACCAGAGGTCCCTTCTCCGCCTGCTGAGTCCAGGAGGCAGCCTTGGTGGGTTCGGGGTACTGGCTCCAGGTCTAGGGTGAGAAACAGTTCCTGGCTGTCGG